CCCTGCAAAGACATTTGTAGCTTCAGGCCAAGATCTAGCCATGATTTGGCAATACTAGTATTTGTGATTGTCTTGGCTAAATGGCTGCTTTGGAAAGTGAGGATCTGGGAGCACTCTGATACTCTCTGATATCCATCCCTTCCTAACCTCAAAGAATCCAGTGAAACTCTAAATTACATCTTTTTTCCTGCTCAAATATGGAGCACAACTCTGCTCAACTTCCTGAAGAAACCTAGGACTGGATCTGTGTAGCATTCATGTTGGTGATTTGTGCAAGCTCACCAGAGCCAACAATTTCATTTGCAGTGCCATTTTCTTCCATCCAACATCGTATTTTCCTTCCTTTCTTCCAGTCCTCTGCAAGGTGGCCCTGTCTCATAGCAGTCTTGCTGGTCGCAGTGAGTCTCTTGAGGTTTGTGCCTGATCCAAGGGCTCCGTGACACTTTCCAGCAGTTCCTGTTTTCAAGATGGATGGAAACAGAAATCCCTGTTTTCATCACTAGGCTTTGCTTTTTAACAGAAAAGCACACCTAGACTTCTTTTCTGTGTGGCTGCTGTGTTTCAGCCTCCTGTGTACAGTACGTGTCCACCATTTTTCTCTCTGTGAGTTGCCCTGGTTGCTTTTCCAGTATTCAGTCCTAACTCAAACATATTGAGAAAATGCCTATTTTTTCTCACATGAAAGGAAAGGAAATGTGCCTGCTTTCCCTTTTAGGGGAGGGTGGAAGGACCCAGCACCCTCACAGTTGAAACTTTGCAGCAGCTTTGATTTTACTGTGTGTTCCTTTGAGCACACAGCCTGACCTAAGTCCCAGGCATCTCCCAGAGCACAGGAGTGGGCTGGATACCACCAGCTGATGTCCCCAGGCTTCCTTGCTCCTGCTGGCTTGTCCCTCCTGGTGCAAGATGAGCCCAGTCCCAGGAGGTCCAGAGCTCATCTCTGGCTCCAAGGCAGCATGTGAAATCCCCACTTTAGCAAGGTCCCATATGTTCTCCCATAAGCTGTTTGCAATGAGATGCTTCCAAGTTCTGTACTGCTGCATCTTTGTGGTCCAGGCTTGTACCTCAGTGAGCTGAGGACTTCTGTTGGGGCAGAGGCAGCTATTTGTGAAGTGCCTGGTGTGCTTTGTCAGCTGTGAGGTTGGCACCAAACCCCAAACTCCAGTGCCTGCTGCTTTTGGAAAAGTCCTGCTGTGAAGAGAGAATACAGGTGTGTGTATGTTTGTGTATTTGCGTGTGTGTGTGTAAGATACATAAATCTATGTACAGATGTCAGTTTAAATGTTTGGACTCTTTCGGGGCCAAGGGCAGAGTGGCTCTGGAAGGCTCTGGTGAAGCCGTGCCCAGCTCAGGACGTGGCTCAAATCCTCTCAAGTGCAGTGCCAGGAGAGCTGCTTCCTTGGGTTGATGGCTGGGTTAGAAAGAAACCACTGCCCAGAGCCTGCTGGCAATCTGACTGCATGCCTTTCCCTGTCAGAGGCATGTGCCTCAGTGTCCCTGGGGCTGGTCAGATTCCTCCACAGCTTTTCATGACCTGTCTCATATCATTTCTTCCATCTCTTTGTTTTTCCCACAGCCCATCATGGCCTATGCAATAAACCTAGCATCTTGATTTATTTTTTTTGTGTGCTCACTGATATTAAAAAGGAATTGTTTGTCTTATCTGGCTTGGGAGTGGTGTCTGAGGAGCAATGACCTGCAGAGGGGACAGGTGCAGGTCCCATGCCTTCTATCTCACACGCTTTCATCTGCCCTGACTGCGTTATCTCAGGGGGGAGCAGCGGTCCCATGGCTTGGGGAGGTCTGAGAGTGGGGAATGCAACATATGTGGATACCTGAAGAGGCAACTACCACATGACGTGTGCTGGGAGCAAGATCATTACCCACTAAGTCACCCAGAGAGCAAGACAGGGTGTAACCTGAAACTGAGTTCCAGCTGGTCAGGCTGGTTTGGGTCTGAAACCCAAAGCAGACACTATCCTTCAAACAGGAGTTGCTCTAGCTGTGTCTCCAGGCTGGTGATCACTCGGGTGCTGCAATGTAAAGTCAGCTAAATGTAACTGGCTAATTGGTAGTGATGTATGGGAACAGGCAGACCTGCCCTGTGTTGCTGACCTGGCATCACTGGCTGGGCCTGTGAGCACTGCCTGCAGCGCTCAGAGCAGCTCTGAGCAGGCCCTGCACTCTCCTCTGTGCTGTGGGCTTTGCTCTGTCATGACCACCCACTCTATACTCAGCTGTCCCATCCTGCCATCTCCAGCTACTTACAGCCCTAAGTACAGATATTATCCCCCGTGCCCGCTGAAGCACTGTCCTGGGAGCAGCTATGCTGAGCCCAGCTCAGCTCCACCAGTGGGGTCACCAGTCCCAGTGGTAACCCCTGGCCTGGGAGCACTGCCTGAAACCACAGTTGCTTCTCTTGATGGTCTCCTGAGAGAAGCAGGTCCATGCTTTGCAGTCTCTCCCTTACAGCACATCTTTGTGTCTCCTGGTGTTGGACATGGCCGGGCTGGAGAATGGAGGTGTGGTCCGAGCCCACTCCTTTGCAGCTTGCAAAGTGCAGGAAAATCCAGAGGCTGCTGCCAGGGCCAGGCAGGGCCGCTCGGTGTCCGCAGCGCTCCCCGGCTGTCACCGCGCGGGGTCACTCAGAAGAGCCCGCGAACCCCAAGTCGCACCTGCCTCAGCCCCGGCACTGGGTGTCAGGCACAAGGGCTTCTGCTCCCCAAAACCCAGGCTCTTGGAAATGGGTGTGTTTTCCGAGGGGAACGGGAGCCCAGAGTTGGAAACTTTCTGCAAAATGAGTATCCCGTTCCCCGAAGACCGGCAGTGAGGGGATGCTGCCTCGCTGCCTGCCTCGCCAGAGCATCACTCGCTGACTGCGGAGCTGCCACGTTCCGCTGCCTATGCCTGACGGGGAGCACATCCTCGATACTCCCCTGCTGTGTCAGGAACACATAGGTGTGTGAAGCTGTTGGCTGGTTGGGCTGGTTTGGGCTGGAGTTAACTTTCTTCACAGTGGCTAGTATGGGGCTGTGTTTAGGATTTCTGCAGGGCACAGGGTTGATAACGCAGAGATGTTTTTGTTATTGCTGAGCAGAGCTTACACAGAGACAAGGCCTTTACTGCTTTCTGTACTGCCACACTGGCAAGGAAGTTGGGGTGCATGGGAGATTGGAAGGAGACACAGTCAGGACAGGTGACCCAAACTGACCAAAGGGATATTCCATACCGTATGACATCATGCTCAGTATATAAAGTGGGAGGAAGAAGGAGGAAGTGGGCTATGTTTTGAGTGATGGTGTTTGTCTTTCCAAGTAACCATTACTCATGATGGGCCCTGCTCTCCTGGAGATGGCTGAACACCTGCCTGCCCGTGGGAAACAGTGAATTAATTCCTTGTTTTGCTTTGCTTGTATGTGTGGCTTTTGCTTTCTCCATTAAACTATCTTTATCTCAACCCATGAGTTTTTTCTAGCTTTTACCCTTCTGATTCTTTCCCCCATCCCATTGGTGAGGGAGTGAGCAAGCAGCTCTGTGGTTCTTGGTTGCTAGCTGGGGTTAAACCGTGACACTGGTTTAGGGCAGAGCTGCTGCTCCTGGTGTGGAGCTCCCCAGTGTGTCCCCCACAGCCCATTGCCCCAGCCCAGCTGCTCTGAGGTGCAGGAGGCTTTGGGGGTCTGGAGCTGCCCCGTGTTCTTGCAGTGCATGCTGGCCTTCCCCACCAAGGTGAGTGTTTTCCAGGGGCTGTTTGCATGGCTTGTGCAGCCAGGATCCTGGCTGGCCCTGGGAGCTGCTGCCCCACTGTGCTGCCCCACTGAGACAAACCTAGTGCCCCTTCACAAGTGTCCAGTCTAGCCCATTGGTGTCCTCCACCTCTGCAGAAGGAGGCCCATGGAGTGTCTCTGCCCTTCCTGACCAGCAAAGCTATGGTCTGGACTTTGCTCTGACTGTCAGGAAGAAGGACTTGCTGGAGCTTTTGGCTGAGATAATCCCAGTAGGCTGGAGGGGACCTCGTAGGCTTTGTGTGGCTGCTGGACTGGATGCAGGAAACATTAGCTCACAGCTAAATGTTGGGTACCTCCGGCTTCCCTGTGGCACAGTGGCTCTGCAAATAAACACAGTGGCCACCCTGGCACGACCAGGGATGGCTACATGGTGGCAGGCCAGAATATTGTCTCCTGCACAAAAGCCACAGTGGTGTGATGCTTTCTGACAAGTTACTTTAGCTCCTGGCCTAATTTATTGCTTAAGGAAGAAATTATTTTGGTTTTGAGGTCAAACAGTTAAATCAGGTTAAAAAGAGAGCTCTAAAGCTGAGGGGAAGAAGGAATAGGATTGTCTGCAAGCTCTGCATAATGTAAACACAAATCTCGAATGTCATTTTTTCCATGCCTTATTTCAAGCATTAGGAACGACCAGACTTGCTCCTACTGCAATGTGCTTTGAGCTCCTAAACAGATTGGAAGTACCACGGCTAGTCCAGCATGTGGTAAGCAAACATTGCTCACTAAAGTAGTGCCTGTGTGAGAAAGAGCCTGTGAACACTCTCCAGACACTCTTCTGTTTTTTTGTTTTTCTACTTGAAGAAGTGGAGAAATTGGAAATACTCTCCCTTGGTCGTCAAGCACAGAACTGCATCTTACTGTAACAGCTTATAGTCATGGAGAAATACAGCGAGCTCTAGAAATTCTAGCAGCTCTGATCTCTTCTGCAGCGTGTTACTGGGCATGGAGGAGCCTTTCTGCAAGGAAGCTTTGCTGACCAGTAAGTGTTTTCCTGGGCAAGGTGCCACCTGAGGTGTGACAGAGTTTCTGTGGCCCTTATTCAATGGTTGCATCTCCAAGATGTCCCCATCTCCAGCTGTGTCAGGAGTTTTGAAACTAACCATTGGTTCCTGTAACAGCTCTAGAACATT